ATGTGATCAGCTGGTTTTGGTTGTCAGCAGCAAAACTGGTTGATCCACTCTGAGAAGGTGCTATTTAAGAGACTGAGCTGAAAACAGCACCTCAGACTGAAGAAGTCTCTCGGACGAGAGACGAAACGTTTCTTTATTTTTTGTTGTTTTGCTTTGTTTTGGGTTTTTCTTTTGAATGTCCAGAGGACCAGATTGAACTTTTTTGGATTTTTCTACCTGGATTATTGAGCATGCATCAGGATACTTGAATCCTTGAATTACATCGGCTTGTCTTGGTGATAGGTGCTGCCAGCTTTGTGTCTAATTTTAACTTAAACTATTCAGTTTCCTCCCATGGTTGTAAGTGTATGATATCCTTAAAGATTATTCTACCAGGAGCAGAAAGGGGTTCTCTGTAAGGGGTACTGATTTCGTGCTTTTTTTGTTTAATTTTTAAAAGAACACATACTGTTAAAACAAATACAAAGGACAGAGGACTCTTTGCTTCAGACTATCCTTCTGGATTTAACATGATCCTCAAATTAAAATTGAATTACCCAGGTCTATTAAACTAAATCCTGTTTGGTTTGTTGCTGCCAATAGCTGTTCACAATGTCTCAGTCTCAGAAGTCCAGGTAGTTTGCTGGGATATGTAATCTGAGGAGAAACGTTTTGCAGATGTTCCCACTGGGCAATCACATGGGTACTTTTCTGGAAACTGCTATTGTTCTTTTTTTTTTTTTTTGAGCCAAGTTCATTTTATCATTTACAGCAAGCACTGAGTCTTAGGTTACAGAAGCAGAAAACCAATCAGGACGTTCTGTAAAGTTGGAGTTTGTTATCACTAAGAATTTTTTTTTTTTTTTTTTTTAGAAAATTGACAATTTAAAATATATTCAAAGCTCCAATCTCTTTTCTCCAAACAGAAATTTGCAAATTTTAAAAGTAAAAAAAACATATATATTTATCCTTCAAGCTTTGAGTATTTTTGTGAATGCAATCATGTTGGTGCCTTTAGCAACCATTTAGATGATTATAGCTTTTAGCTACTGTCTAGCTGCTTTAAGATACGACTTTAATGCTTTTCTTTTAGCAACTTTTGGCTTTTAGCATTCAGCTACAAATTGCAGCTTATAACTAGGAACTTTTAACATGGGTGGCTATGGCACAGTGGTAAGGCAGCTAAACTGGGACAGGAGAGTTGCAGGTTAAATTCCTCGCATCGTGGTGTCCTTGAGCTAGACACCAACTCCCTGAGGGCTCCATGGAGCTTAAATGGCTGTCTGCTGCTCCACTTGGTTGTATCTCATGTGATGGGTCAAGAACAGAAGACAAATTTGTGTGGGCACACACAATGACGACAATGCATAATACCTAACTAACTTTCGGCTGCTTTTAGCTTTAGTATATGTTGCTCTTATCTTAGCTTCTAGCTACTGTTCTGTCAGTGTTCTGCTGATTTTAGCTTCTGTTCTGCTGGTTTTACCTGTATATAACAACTTAAGTGTTGGCTTTGTGGCAAATTTCAGCATCAGTCAGCTCTCAGAATTGGCAGAAAATGTGATTTATTTAATTTCTGGTTTTGTTTTGTTCTTTAACACTGAATAATTTCAGCCTTGAAAATGTCTTAGTTGTGCTTTTCAGCTTTGTGAAAAAGAAACTCCTTGAAACACTGAAGCCATTTACAAGTTTCCCAAATTATTAGCGAGTTTTAAAGAGTCATAATCAGTTGTTTGGTTGTTCAGTGTTTGTGATGAGTGGTAGATAATGAGCCAGTCAACTTTCTGTTAGAAACAGGCGGGTTGTGAAACATGTCACGCTTCAGAGTTGATCTAATTAGGACTCGATTGTTGAATGCAGAAAATGGATTTCATATTTAACCCAATTTTCATATTCTTAATGTGAATTTCCATTTCCATCTGTATTATTAATGTATTTATACTTACTTACAAACTTGACATATTTAAAAGTGCTATTTCTGTTCTATGTCAGAGTCAGAGATTCTTTATTGTCATTTGCACCTCATGTGGTACATGTGGTGGAGCGAAATTATGTACACAGGGTCCCAGTTACATCCAACAATAAAATGTATAAGAAAAACGGTAATAACATCTAAGATATGAACTAAGAAAAACATCAACTGAATATACACTAAGCACTCATAACATAAAACATTGAACATCAGCACAAACACGAACATGAGTCTGTGTGAGCGGATGTGCACGCATGAACACATCAACATTTAAACAGATCAGCAGCAACATGATGTGGTTTTTCACAGTGATTATTCTAGTTAGAGATTCATGAGTCTAACAGCCTCAGGGTAGAAGCTGTTCCTCAGTCTAGTGGTTCTACACTTAATGCTCCTCAACCTCCTTCCTGAGGGGAGTGGGGCAAAAAGTGTGTGTGCTGGGTGAGTGATGTCCTTCATGATGGAGGTAGCCCTCTTCCTGCATCTAGAGGTATAGATGTCTGTGATGGTGTGGAGGCTGACTCCATCAGTCTTCTGTGCAGCCTTCACCATTCTCTGCAAAGCTTTTCTTTCTGCAGCTGTGCAGCCTCCATGCCACACATTGATGCTGGAGCACAGGATGCTCTCCACTGCACACTTGTAGAAGGAGGTGAGGACTGAGCTTCCCAGACCAGCTCGTCTCAGCCGTCTGAGGAAGTAGAGTCTCTGATGAGCTTTCTTGATCAGGCTGATGGTGTTGTTGATCCAGCTGAGGTTGTCATTCATGTGCACACCCAAGTACTTGTAGCTGGAGACCACTTCTACCGCAGATCCTCTTATGTTCAGGGGGGTGTAGATGTTTTTGTTCCTTCTGAAGTCCACAATCATCTCCTTTGTTTTCTTCACATTGATGTGAAGGTTATTCTCTTTGCACCAGCTCTCCAGGTGTTCCACCTCTTGCCTGTAGCTGGACTCATCATTGTTTGTGATGCATCCCACCACCGCTGTAACATCTGCAAACTTTACAATGTGACAGCCTGGATGGGTAGCTGCACAATCATACGTGAGCAGAGTAAACAGGAGGGGGCTCAACACACATCCCTGAGGAGAGCCAGTGCTGAGGGTTATGGTGGAGGAGGAGAAGTTGTGGATCCTCACTAACTGTGGTCTGTTTGTTAAGAAGTCTAGTACCCAGTTGCAAATGGAGGAGCTTAGTCCTAGTGTGGATAGTTTGTCCATCAGGGTTTGGGGGATCATGGTGTTGAAGGCGGATGTGAAGTCCACAAAGAGCATACGAACGTAAGAGTTTTTCTGCTCTAGGTGGTTGAGCGCAGTGTGGACCACAGAGGAGATGGCATCCTCTGTTGATCGGTTCTCACAGTATGCATACTGATGAGGGTCCTCGTTGATGTTGATGGTTGTTTTGATGTGAGTCATGACCAGTTTTTCGAAGCATTTAGCAACTATCGGGGTGAGGGCCACTGGCCGATAGTAATTCAGACCAGTCACTCTAGAGCTTTTTGGGACTGGGATGATGGTGGCAGTCTTCAGGCAGGTGGGAACTGTCTCCAGGGTAAGTGAGGTGTTAAAGATGTCTGCTAGCACCTCACAGAGCTGATCAGCACATTCCTTCAACACTTTTCTGGTGATGTTGTCTGGGCCAGTTGCTTTGTGCGGATTAATCCTCCTAGTACCTTGTTAAATAAAAATATGTGTTAAATACTTCTAAACTGAATTACTGGTTAAAGGGGTAATGATTCCCTGATTTCCCTTGGCATAGATTTTAATGTAAAGATGGTTCAAAAACCGTCATATACCATGACTTGAGTGTCATATTTATACAGATTTAATGTTGTCTACAGTAGGGCATTAACAGAGTACTCGAGTAATCTACACATCGATTGCTAGGACCTCTATCGAGGTTAAAAATGTAATGTCGAGTAACCGTAGTGACGTCATATTATGTGACCACCGTATGACCGTAGGGGGCGGTGTTGCACTGTTGCAGGTCACAGAATATGGTGTAACACCGGGTCCAATCCACCGCCCATCCACTGTTTTAAGTTTCGTTTCTGATGTGCTGCATGTGTTTGCAGTTTAATAATAATAACTAATAGTTTATTTTTTTCCTGTAACTTATTTGCAGTATGATAAATGGTGGGAGCATAATATACGCTCCCAATATTTTGTTGGTCTTTTTTTTGTAAATAATTACCTTTTATTTCGGTTTTATTTATTTATTTATTTTTTGTATCTTGAGATCTATGACGTCATCAAATACTCGAGTTCTACTCGGGTTTTATTATGTTAATGTCGAGTTTAAAAATTATATACTAGTTCAACCCCTAGTCTACAGTAATGTAAGGTGTGGTAAACACAGGCATCTTTTAAATAGACAAATACAAAATTTACAATATTAAAAGTGTGAGATTCCTGGGTTTTTGCCTGTCACTCACTCTTCCTTTCACAGCCAATTAACCTCAACTCACTCCACCTGCTGCTGCTCTGAGGAGGACTGCCTGATGGGGTATTTAAGCACCTGCCAGACACCTCTTCAGTGCTGGGACAGCATCTACCAAATGGTAACTCATGTACAGCCGACTAACCTTTGTTGCAGCTGGTTCTCACCAACTGTGACTCCTCCAGGACCTTCCACGGCCTGCCTCTTCAGATCCTCCATAGGATCTCATCGCTCCACTGGACTCCACCTGTGGATCAACGGTGTCCCTTCAACAACCACCATTAAGCACTCTCAACTGGGTCAACGTGCTCCTATCTCCACCGCCAAGTACCTCAGGACTGGATCTCCTACAAAAACCCAGGACCTCTCCTCTCCTTCTCGGCCTCCACCTGCAACACAAACAGTAAGGAGTCATTTTCTCTATCTTCAAGAATTGAAACATTCTAAGAGATGACCAGAACCCATACTCACCTATTCCTCTTCTCCCGTGCAGCTGTGACGACACAATCACCTGTAAATAAAGTTCACTTACCTTTTGTAGTTCTGGCTTTGTCTTTATTGAATCGGTCTGCTCACTTGGGGGTCAACATTGATTAAAAACCTGATAGTATGTCCCAGCCAATGGACTCCCCGAGCAAGACTGAGGAGGTAAAGACTCAGTTAGAACCAAAAGTAAACACTGACCCTCTCCACTTAACTTTACAGCGGAATTTTGTGCAGCAACAAACAACTCAGGACAATCTACGGGAGTTGGGTGGTATGGTGTTCTCTCTTCAGAAACAAACGGTGGACAAAGCTTCATCTTCGACTCAGCCCATCCCTCTGGAACCTACAATTAGGATTAACAATCCGTGCCCCAAGGAACCGGACGTTCGACCTTCTGAGATGTTCGAAGGTAACACACGCAAATATGGTGGCTTCGTTCTCCAGTGTAACTTGGCATTTAATTGTATTACCTATTACACTCACATTACCTATTCATCCGATTCTGCCCGCATAACTTATGTGGTTAGTGCTTTAAAAGGAGAAGCGCTTCAGTGGGCACATGCTTACCTTCATAGACGCCCCATCAAAACTCTGATGTTTGCTACCTTCTTGAAGGATTTTCTTTGGGTCTTTGACCACCCTTTACAGCAGGAGGAGGCAGCCCAAAAACTTTTTACGTTACGTCAGGGTAAAGAGACGGTGTCCAAATTCGCCATCCACTTCCGCATCATCGCTGAGGAATCCGGCTGGGGTGAGATAGTGTTACACAGTTCATTCATTAACGCTTTAAATCGACAGATTAAAGACCAACTAGTCACATCCCTTCGGATTTGGATGATGTAATTTCTCTGGCCATTCGGATTGACAACAGGGTTCGGGAGAGCCTCTTAGAAGAGGACTACAAGTTCCACAAGCTTCCTCTTCCCGGAAGTAATGACTCCGCAACCACGGATTCCACTTCTGAACCCGAACCTATGCAGATTGGTACGACTTGGCTTTCTCCCGAGGAGTGACAGCGCCACCTCAAGGCCAACGCCTGCATGTACTGTGGGGAAAAAAGGATCATGTGATTGCTGCCTGCAAACTACGGGTAAAAGACAAAGCCCACCAGTCATACAGGAGATACTGGTGGGTACCACTTCTTTGTCTCCTGAAAAGAACCTAAGTCTACAACAATCATTTGCATTAACTCTGTCAACTTTCCTATCCAGACGTTGATTGATTCTGGTGCTGAACAGAGCCTAATCAGCAGAAACCTGGTGGAGGAACTACATATCCCCACAATCAACTTAACACCAGCTAACACCATCTCTGCACTCACTGGGCAAACCATCTCTTCCATCTCATTAAAGACATTAAAAATAATGGTTGTAGTATCTGGAAATCACAGAGAGACAGGTAAGTTTTTTGTTTTCGACTCTCCTATACCACAACTTATCTTGGGTCATCCCTGGCTTAAATTGCACAAACCTCAAATTAACTGGGTCAAAAATAGAGTTGAAAAGTGGGGAGAAAAATGTTCTTTGAGATGCCTCCGTTCAGCCATCTCTTCAGGTTCACCTCCTAAACTAAAAGTTGAAGACATTGATCTTTCGACAATACCTTCAAATTACCACACGATGGCGCCAGTCTTCAGCAAACAGAAGGCTTTATCTCTACCGCCACACCGTCCATATGATTGCGCTATCGACTTACTTCCATTACCCACAAGTAGATTATATAACTTATCTGGGCCTGAAAATGTATCAATGAAAGACTATATTGACGACTCTTTAAAGTCAGGCATTATCTGCCCTTCTACCTCTCCAGTGGGGGCTGGTTTCTTCTTTGTGTCAAAGAAAGATAAGACTCTGAGAACCTGCATCAATTATAGAGGACTCAATCAAATCACTATTAAGAAAAAATATCCTCTTCCTTTAATCGACTCTGTCTACGAGCAGCTCCAGGAGGCCACCATTTTTACTAAACTTGATCTATGCAATGCGTATAATCTAGTGAGAATTTGCAAAGGAGACGAATGGAAGACAGCTTTTTAAGACACCTTTGGGACATTTCGAGTACCTTGCTATGCCGTTTGGGTTAACTAACGCCCCGGCAGTTTTCCAAGCTCTCGTTAATGACATTCTTCGGGATTTCCTCAACATCTTCATATTCGTGTACTTAGACAATATTCTCATCTATTCCAAAGATGAAGAGCAACACACTTGACACATGAAAGCTTTTCTCCAGAGGTTATTAGAAAACTAGCTTTTTGTCAAGGCAGAGAAATGTGAATTTCACGCTACCACCGTGACATTCCTAGGGTTCATTTTTGAGAGGGGACAGGTTCGATCCGACCCTGAAAAAACCAAGGCTGTAGTGGAGTGGCCTACACCCGGTAATAGAAAACGATTACAACGGTTCCTGGGGTTTGCTAACTTTTACCGACAGTTTATTAAAAACTATAGCAAAGTCGCCACTCCTCTGACCTAGCTCACCTCTACCCTCAAGAAGTTCAACTGGACACCCGAAGCTGACACTGCTTTTAATAACCTCAAACACCTGTTCTCTACAGCCCCCATTTTATCACACCCTGAAACAAAGAGGCAGTTTATCGTGGAGGTCGACGCTTCTGATTCGGGAGTGGGGGCCGTGTTATCACAAAGAGCATCTGACGACAGAAAACTTCACCCATGTGCTTTTTTCTCACGTTGTTTGTCTATTGCTGAGACAAACTATGATGTTGGCGACCGTGAGTTATTGGCCATTAAGCTAGCATTAGACAAGTGGAGACATTGGCTAGAGGGAGCTGAACTCCCCTTCATAATTTGGACCGATCACAAGAACCTAGCCTACCTCCAAGGGGCTAAAAGACTTAACGCCCGACAGGCCAGATGGTCGTTGTTTTTTGCTAGATTCAATTTTTCCATCAAGTATATCCCAGGGTCCCACAATATAAAACCAGATGCTCTCTCACGACAATTATCTACAGCCGAGGTTCTGGACACCCCTGAGAACATCCTTCCTTCCTCCTGTAAGGTGGGTGTAATGACTTGGCCTATTGAAAAAGACATCCTGGAGGCCCAACAGACTGAACCTGATCCCAGTACCGGCCCTCCGGGAAAGATGTTTGTTCCTACGGCCATGGTGGGTAAGGTATTGGAGTGGATCCACAGCTAGGTTTTCCTGCCACCCTGGTGTTGGACGCATGCTGCATCTTGTTAAAGCATCCTTTTGGTGGCATAACCTTATTAAATATGTTAAGGATTTCATTTTAGCTTGTCCCACTTGTGCTCGGAACAAGCACAGCAACCAGCCTCCTGCTGCTACCACTTCCCATCCCCAGCCGTCCCTGGTCACACATGGCCTTGGACTTCGTCACTGGTCTCCCCGTCTCTGATGGTAACACAGTTATCTGCACCATTGTCGACCATTTTTCCAAGTCTGCTTATTTCATTCCTCTACCTAAACTTCCCTCTGCTCTTGAGACTGCTCAGATTGTCACTGAAAATGTCTTTCGCCTTTACGGCATCCCTCAGGACATCGTCTCCAACCGTGGACCACAATTTGTTTCTCAAGTGTGGAGAGGGTTTTGTCGAGCTTTGGGGTAACTACCAGCCTCACGTCTGGATACCACCCTCAATCCAACGGTCAAACAGAACGTTGCAACCAGGAACTGGAAACAGCTCTGAGGTGCATAATTGACAGCCATCCCTCATCCTGGAGTCAACATCTGCCTTGGATTGAGTATGCCCATAACTCACAAACCTCTGCAGCCACTGGAAAATCTCCTTTCGAGGTCGCTATGGTCTTCGCTCCTCCACTGTTCCCCTCACAGGAGCCTGATGTGGGCGTCCCCTCGGTCCAACTTCACATCAAACGCTGCCGTCGGATCTGGCGTCAGACAAGAGCAGCTCTGTCCAGATCTTCGGAGCAGAACAGACGCTTCGCTGACAGACGTCGGTCCAAGGCTCCTGACTTCAAGGTCGGTCAAAAGGTATGGCTGTCTACCAAGGACATAACCTTAAAAGACAACCCCAGGAAACTCTCCCCCAGGTTCATCGGGCCGTTTCCTGTGGTAAAGGTGATAGTCTACAACTCCCGCCTGCCATGAAGATACACCCTACTTTCCATGTATCTCACATCAAACCGGTAACCACCAGCCCTGCCCTCTACACCCTCCGACCAAACCCCCCCCCCCCCCCCCCGTCTCATAGACAACGAACCGGCCTTCTCGGTCTGGTGCCTTTTGGACGTATGGCATCGTGGTCGGGGAGTCCAATACCTGGTGGATTGGGAGGTTTGTGGCCCTGTAGTGGACTAGGCCCATGTCAAAAACTAAGTCTAAGGTCAAAAATCTTGACCTTAAGAACCTTGTGGGACAGGAACTGTCATTTCATTGATTTGAATCCAGAAATACAGGTTCACCCATCCTGAGACTTTCTCTCTTGAAGATTCAAGTGAAAAGAACACTCTCTGTTTATTATCATTACTATTTTACAAATGTTGATAATCAAAGTGTCTTAGTTCAAACCATTTTAGATGTTGCAGTGAACTAATCAATTTTATTAACTGTGTAATGATTTTTCTCACGCAAAGTTAGAACTCATGTCAAAGCTGTTACAGAGTAATTATGCCTTTTCTGATTTCTGCTTTTGAATGAGCAAGTGTAAGTTGGTCCAAGGTTGGAGTCAAACGCAAAACAAGTTGTTGGCATGTTTTTAAAATCCTCTCAGACATAAATATAGAGGTTTTTGGCACCTGTTTCTGAAATGCGCCAAAACAAAACTCTCTCTGTCTGTGAGAACATTTCTGATCTTTCCATAACAATTCTTGCTGTCTTCTAACCTCTTACGTCACAAAACACACCCCGTCTGGTCGGTTCTGACCAATGGTAATACTCCCAAAAGTGAACCGGGAAACAGCTCTTTAAAATGTCAGTACTTCCTGGTTTACTCAGTTCTAGTTCTGTTGAAGTTCTGCTCGAGTTCTGGTAAAGCTCTGCTCGAGATCTGTAAACTACACAGTTCTGTTAGAAGCTCTGGGATGGTGCTGGAACAGTTCTGGGACAGTTCTGTTCAGTTCTGATGGAGTGCTGTTGGAGTTCTGCTGGATACACAGTCCAACCAGTTCTGTGAGAGAAGCCCAGTTCTGTGAGAGACGGGATGATCCTGACATGACAACAGAGCTCTTCCGAGTTCCATGGGATTATAACATTTTCCACTGAGGTGAGCTTGTGTCGGACAGTCTCGCCGCTACTCCGGAGGAGTAACAGCATCCTACGGAGACGCTGAAGGGTGCGTTAAACGGAATCTCGCCTGAGACATCTCCAGGTAAAAGAGTCGATTTTACCACCGAAGTGTACCGTAAGGAAAGCTGAAGAAAGCCCAGAGAGTGCCGTTCTGTTAACACACTCCCTCAAACCCCATCTTTTACTCTTCTTTAACTTCTTTCCCATCTTGAAACTTTTCTCTCAAGTAGAAATTCTTCCAGATATTTTAGAAATGTCTGTGTAAAATGCTCATCCACGTCCGTGTGGGTAAAAGATCATAATTGTACAGTTTCATAAATGTCTGTGGTGAAGCAACGGAAAAATCATGGCCGTATGATTTTTCCTGATTGATTGCTTATGTTGCTATTTTCATAATTTGCCAAATTAATGTAAATGTTTGATGTTAAACTTTGATTCTGTAAATAAATGACCGCATTCATTTTGATGGGTCAAACATGAATGACGTCTCACGTTTGCATTTCCTTAAATTCAATGCACGTTTTATTCAGTCCAGAAAAATGAGGAATCCGTGTTAAATGATGAATATATCCGAGCATCTGTTCATCTACATATTGGTGGCCCGTCACGCGCTCATAAATGGACTGTAACCGTGTAAACATTGATTTTACATGTTGGCATATGTTGTAAATAGCAGAGAGTCAGCTGTGCTGAAACGCAGCTGGAGCTGCGCCGCTGAAGCAAAACGCTGCATGTTCTAAGCGTTGGGCTAGTGATGTTAGAAGCTGAAATTGTGTCATTGAGTCTTGTGAAAGCTGACATTGTACGCCTGTTATGTTAACTAAGAGCTGATGAGCTGTGAAAAACGCTGCATTCTGTTTAAACTGAGGTCCAAACGGACGGGAGGTTCGGTTCTGGACCGGCTCGGTTCTGGAAAATTCGGACGAGTTGTTTAAATAGCTAGAATGACGTTTTGTCACGGAGCGCCGTCTCCGTGCAGCTCAGGGAGTTGATTCGTTACATTTTTAACAGAAAAAGTGCATTTTGACAGTTTAAAAGACGAAAAAAGTGACGAACTGATTTTATGCTAATCTAGCATGCTGGTTGTTGCTAACGCTTCGTGGTTGGTTGAATATTGCTGTTGTGGAGCGCTCTGATTTGCTGAGGAGGGTGAATGCGTGCCTACGTAACTTCCTCTCAACCCTGCGCTGCTTTTTCATTGGTGATTTCAGTCACGTGACCCGGAAATGGAAACTCGTTTTCATAGGGAATAAAATCTGCTTTTTTAAGCTGAAAAGAGCTTTAAAGCTGTGTTCTGAAACGCTGTTTAAGTCTTCGAAGTCTAATCGCTAAAAATTTGTCACGTTTGTGTAAAAAATCCGTTCAGAAACGTTGATTTTAACCGGGTTTAGCCGAAGCTAACTTTGAGCTAAGCGGCTAACAACAGGATGTCAACCGAAAGCCACAGGGAGTTATAGCTCCCCTAGTGGACAACACAAACAGTGTCGGAGTTAAAATTGTTGAGGTCGTACTGACATCTTCTGGAGAAGACGTGGGATCACAGGTTTCACTGCGTTTTTAGGTTATTTTAGTGAAATTAAACGTGTTTTCTTTGTAAAAGGCATTTTTGAGTTTTTAACCGTTCCTCAATGTTGAATAAACTCTGTTATCTTGCATTTTAAAAGTTATGAAGGTATTTATGCAGAGAGCATTTACCGAACAAATTTTTATTCACTGATAAATCCTTGAGAAACAGGTACAAAATAAAAATTTAGAAACTTTTAAATAAGATACAGTTACAGATATTCACAAGGTTGGAAAAAGTTTACTCATTTGCTAGAAGATAACGCACGTTTAATTGATAAATCACTAAATAAGAGTAAACTTATCAGGAGAAAGAGATTTTTCTGATTTTCTTTTACCACCTAAACATTTACATCTCCTATTTTATTTCTAAATGGCAGATAATGGCGGACGTAGAGGTAAACACTGACCCCTTCCAATCCGGAGATGTCGTCCAGACAGCTTTGCATATTTTAACAAATTCAATTATTGGTACACAATTACAGCAATTGCTAGACCTTGATGACGATCAAAGATATGAGGAGCTGCAGACGTTGTCAAAAGCAGCTAAAGTGAAGGAGGACACGAAATCCAGCCGTGAACGGTTGGCAAAAATTTCTCTGCTTCTGAAGGCGGAACTGGACCGTCTGGTTGAACGAAATACCTTGCTGTTCAATGGATATGAGTCTGAAAAGGAGAAGTGTGACGAATTGTTAAATGCATCTGAGTTGCTGAAACAACAAATTCAGACTGATAGGGACCTCTCAAAGACTGAGCTGTCAGAACAGGCTCAATCATATGAGGTGAAGATTGCGGATAAGGAACAAGCGTACCAAGCCGCGTGTGCAGATAACAATATGTTACAAGCACGATTGCAGGCCGGATCAAAGGAGCTGGACGATTGCAAGGCAGACAAGGAGATAATACTCCGAAGTTGGCTGAATTTACAAAGTGAAAATCAGACGACACATAAGTGCCTGACAGCTTGTGAGGAGAGGCTTGCTACAGCTACAACCCTGATTTCTGACATGGAGCTAGCTGGTTTGAGACTCAGAGACGAACAGGGTCAGCTACAACCACCCCAGACAGGTGCTGTTGCACCTCCTCCCCTTAGCCCCGTTTCAACACCCCCAACCCGGGGGATAAGGACGGGTCTGCACCCACTTGCACCTCTTCCTCCTAACGCCATGCGGCCACCCCCAACCCCATCTCGGGCGGCGGGGATGGACCTGCACCGATATCATCTCACTGAATCGGTACACACCATGCAGTCATCTCCATCCCCACCACGGGTGGTAGGGACAGACCTGCACCCACTTGCACCTCTTCCTCCTGACACCATGCAGTCCCCTCCACCCCCATCTCGGAGGGTGGGGACAGGTCTGCACCCACTTGCACCTCCTCCTACCAACCCTTATCAGCCACCCCCACCCCCACCATGGGCGGTAGGGGCAGGCCTTGACCAGTCTGCACCACCAGTCACACAAGTTAGACCGGTGATACAGTCTCCTTCAATGGATGATTTGCAGAAGATCTCAAAATATGTACAACGCTTTGTTCCCAGACCCATGGGGTCAGCTGGAACAAAAGCGTATCTCAAAGATCTGGAGTTCAGATTGAGATCTTATCCTAATGCTACGACAGAGGATACGATCAGTCTGATACGGCTCACTTCGGACAGAGAGGTGTTCACCTTCATCGAGCGTCTACCTGATGCAACGAAGAGGGCTTACAACCTTCTGTGTGAAGCTTTGATCAGGGAGTACGACCCCTGCACGGGACCTGCTGGTTTCCCAGCTGCAGACAAGGTCACGCAGGGTAGAACTGAACATCCAAAAGTTTATTACAAAAGAATCTTCCAAGCTTATTTTGGTAACAGAAATGAGACCGGAATGGAAGAAGATGATGGTTTTAAGTTTGTTTTCAGCAAAAATCTCCACTCTGATTTTAAAAAATCAGTACAGATGATGGCAAATTTCAGAGAAAAATCCATCAGTGAGATTAAGCAGTGTGCTGTGAATGTGTTTGAAGCATGTTCTCATGCTAAGACGCCCATAGAAGTGTTTCCTAGTGTAAAGGTTAAACCCCTCCCTCTTGAACTAGAAGGACGACGTGCTTCGCCGCCTCCTCCTAAGAAGAAAGAGAGAAAACAGTCTGTTCAAGCTAACAAACCGCGTCCTGAAGGTGCACGC